ACACATAAAGTGCTTAACAGTATTATGTACATGGTAGACAGACAGTAATCATTGTAGTTAATTTCTTTTTCTTTTATGTTCTGTTCTAGCATTTCTAACCTTTTCTTGTCCAGTCCTCCAATGTATTAGTATTTCCTCTGGTAAACTGGAGCCGGGATTAGCAGTATTTTCCTTTAAAGAGGCACATAATAAATATTTTATGTTTTTTTAGGTCATATAGTCTGGTGAAATATAGTTGACATGCTGTATCCTTAGATTCTGTGCTCATGGCTTCAACCAACCATGAATAGAAAATATTTAGAAAGAACATGATATCTTTACTGAGTATGTACATTTTTTCTGGTTGTATCATACTGTAAATAACATGTGATGGTAACAACTTATGTAGCGTGTCTATTTTATGAGGTATTACAAGCAATCTAGAAAAGTGTATAGGAAGATATATGTGATTCTTATGCAGATACTGTGGGATATAAGGGCTTGAGCACCTGTGGATTTGGTGCATGGTGAGCATGAGGAGTGTTCTGAGACCCAGTCCGCCACTTACACCTTTCATTTCCTTATCAGTTTCTGTATATGCATTCCTTTCCCCAAGTATACTAGCCTGGAGAGTATTAGATATAATGATTATACAGTCTCATATCAGAAAACTGGAATTTTTGTTATGTGTTACACTATTAAGATGGTTGTTAGTTTTAGAAAGTTAAATCTTGTCATGGCTTCTATATTCATTTCCCCCTCCCTAAAACATGCTGTAGCCACTTGTCAGTGTTTTGTTCTGTTTTGTTTTTTAGTGCTGTGAATCAAACCCAGAGCTGCATGCCATGTTCAACCAATAAGCTCTAGCCTCTGCCCCCACTTACCAGTTTTAAAATACTGACTCTGGTGAGGCGGTGCACACCTTAATCCCAGACAGAGACAGGCCAACAATCTCTTGTTTAAGGCCAGCTGGTCTACATAATGAGTTCTAGGATAGCCAGGGCTATGTAATAGATAAACCCTGTCTCAAAAATAAATAATATTGTTGATATCTGCAAACATTTAACCATGGGGTGGAATATGGTAGCACACACCTTTTATATGGAATTATTTTTTCCCTCCCTCCCTCTTTCTCTTCCCATTCACAGTTTTTCCTCCATACTCTCTTCCAAGTCCCTTCCCCCACCTCCCCCTTGTCGCACCCCCCATCTACTCCTCCCTTTCTATTCCAAAAGGGTAGGCCTTGCATGGATATCGACAAAACATGGCATATCAAGTTGTAGTAAGACTAAGTACCTCACCTTGTGTTGAGACCTAGAACCTCTGCATATATGTGATAAGTGTGTAGTAAGGAACTGTCTGGACTCTTACTGGCCATGGGACCCTATTCTTCATACTGGGTTGCTTTGTCCAGTCTTAATACAAAGTGGTGCACACTGAAGTGAGAACACACAAAAGTGATAATCAGTTTATTAAGGGGTGTAGTGAAAAGACAAACTTACAGATACAGAGCAAAGCAGATGCCACTGCTGATCCTGCACTGACTCTCTGCAGCTTGGTCTCCAACCGTGCCAAGCAGGAGCCAGAGCAAGGGAGAGCAAGTGCACTTTCCCTCCTTAGAAGACAAGACTATGCCCTAGAGCTTGCTGCCCCAAGGCTATTGGTGGGATGAGTTCCCACAACAACACACTTTTAATCCCAGCACTCCAGAGGTAGAGGCAGACAGATCTCTATGTCAGAAGCCAGCCTGGTCTACATAGTCTGGACCATATTAGCCAGGGCTGCATAATGAGACTGTCTATGAATGAATACGTGATTAAGGTTAAATATAGCAAGCAGTTTGTAGGAGAGCACCTTTGGGATCCCTACTGTTAAAATTTAGCTCAAATGTTTTAAAATTTCTCACCTCATCCAAATACTTGCCTTCGCTTAGTGAATTTTATATTTTAGGGTCAATTTGCAGGGAAAACTTTTGTCTTATAGTTCTTGAATTTGTGTATTTTTAAAATACAGAAAACAAATTTAGGATTTATTTGCTTTGACAACCAAGTTGTGTTATTTTCTAAGACTAGTTTTGCTGAAGGAAGAATGAAACCATCTTTTAGAACTTGAACCATAAAGTTAAGGAGTCAAGATTGACTTAAAACTTAAAGTGCCATGTTTATCCTGTCCTCTGTATTTGTCAGTAGTCTTAGCCAAAGTAAGACATTTTCTGGTACTTGTTGGGAGTGCAGGACACAAGAGATTTCCATAAAAAGACATAGAGTTTACTTGGAAGAATATAGTGGTTTTCTTACTTGGCAAGAATGTGTTAGAAGTAACTCCCCTCAGGAAGAAAATGTTAACTCCAATTATTCTTACTGATAATTTTGTATGGATATGCTTGTTGGACAACTATTTTGTTGTTTCTATGGATGTGTATCTACAGACAATATTCTCTATGTGAAAAATGACTTTGAAAGTTGGATATCTTAACCATTTTGTTAAGGAGCAGAAGTTAAATATTCTTTTGTTGGAGAATTCCCCCCAAGTAATTTAGTCATCTCTGAATTCTTTCCCTAATTCCTGTTTCCCTAGAAAATCTGGAGGCATTTAGGGAATATAAACAAGTTCACTGTTTGCTGTATTGTGACTGCCTCATGAAAGATACACACTGTCATAATGATAACAGTTCCCTAAGAGGCTTGGATAAGGATAGAGCAGTCTTGGTTTAGGAAGCAGTGTGATCTGTATTTAGCCATCAGCACTATTCTCAGATAAATGAGAAAACTATCTAATACATACTTAGGGTCAAGCACAAATTTACCACACCTCACCTTTTCCTTTTTTACGTCTCTGTGACAACATGTAGTTATTTTTAAGCTTTCTTCTCTCTTCTCTGAGTGCCTTAGTTGATTTCATCTGCTGCTGTGGTTTTAATTGCTGCCTTCTTTCTAGTTTCAAAAATAGCTATCAAATTCTGTTACACACTTTTCCCAGAGGACTCTCACACTGAATTTCTCTAAGAAATGTACCTGTTTCAGTTGCAGGTATTCTATCAGCCACTTTTTTTTGCTCAAGCTAGATACCTAGAAGTTATGTTTACCTTTTTTTTTTTCTCCTAACAATTATCTCTGATCAGTTAGGGCCCAGTACCTTCAGAAAAGCATTGCCCCCTTTTCAGCCCTAGTATTACTATTTAGGTCTCAATCAGGTCTCACTGAACTTTTGATGTGGCTTCCTAACTAATCTCCTTTACTTTCAGTGCATGTTATATAATATAAATGTAACCATAATAGCATTTTAAAAATCACTGTGTCGGGACTGGAGAGATGGCTGAGAGGTTAAGAGCACTGGCTGTTCTTGCAGATGACGCAGGTTTGATTTGCAGGACCTACATGATGGCTTACAACCATTAGTAACTACAGTTCCAGGGGATCTGGTGCTCTTTTCTAGCCTCTATAGCTATCAGGCACATATGGAGTGCACAGACGTGAAAGCAATCAGAGCACCCGTGCACATAAAAAATGAAATTTAAATTTAAAAAATCACTGTTTTCTCCCTTTGGGTAACTAGATAAAATGTAAATTATATTAGGACAGGTACCTTTGTAAGCACAGGTCTGTGCTCAGCTTCACATTCCATAATTTTTTTCTTTGTGTGGCAGGATTTCACTAGGTAGCCCTGGCTAGCATCAAACTCACAGAGCTATGCCACTTGAGTGCACCCCACCCGGCCATGCTATAGCTTATAAAAACTCCATGTTGAAAAATAAGACTATCACTAAGGGGGTGCTATGTTTACTGCTGAAGTGTAAAATTTCTGAGGTATCTAGTGGATGCCTGGTGTTTCACCAAGAAAGAACCCCATTTCCAAGGACCATGTGAATCCTCAGACTTCAGCAGCATGTAGGTCTCTTTTGTTTCATCTCATGTAGTTTAATCTACATGCTTGTTAGGCCCTTTGTTCATTTCTAAGGAATATGTTGTCAAGTTAATGACTCTTGGTAGTCGGTGGAATTTAATCATGCTGAGAAAAAAAAATAGTGTCTGTATAGTCATGCACCTCTGTTTTTTTGACCAGAAGACTAGGTATAACTGACAATTACCCATCGACTCCCGGGTCATTCATTGAGTGAGAGCGTGGTCCCACTCTCAAGTGGATCCCTCTGAAGCTCTCTGGAATTGTCAGAGCCTAGCTCCCTTTTCCCAGGTATATTTTCAAAGCTGTTCTTGAATTCTTTCTCCCTGTAGCACAGCCTGAAAAGCGTCTACAGACAGAAAGCTAAGGAGCTGTGAGTCTCACATCATGTCTTCCTATCCATGTGTTACCATCCTACATTATTTATTTTCCAGTGTCTAAAATAATTATCTCATATTTTTTTTTTTTTTTTTTTGCTCACTAGCAGTTTTCTATAGGATGAAAAGTCTTACCTTTGTTACTCCATATGGGCCACTGGAAATTGTTTCCTGGCTTTTACTTCATAAGATAAGCTTATAATCCACTTATTTTCTGAAGCTCTTTGAATCTTAGAGAGTGCTTACTAGCCCCTGCTGGTATAGGTTAACATATCTTTTTGCCTACTATTTATATGATAAGAATTCTAAAGCTGACATTTTACATAGTCTGGCTATAATGTAACAATGAATAAAATAGTGCAGAACTACTATATGTATTAGGCAAGTAAAGTAACATGTAGATTATATTATATGAGTATTTCCAAAGTACAGCTTGGTAAATGGTTAGGTTCATGGTTAGTTTTAAGACTTTATTGATTTTAATGCCCTGTTTTCTTAGTAACATGAATGGGCTTAATGATTGCTATTTAATAAGAGATCATTTTCAGTAAACTAAAGTATCTGGCACTGGTCCTATAAAGCTATTATTGGAAACTGTTTGATTTTGCTCAATAGTCTCTGTGCTCTGGCTAGATAATGTCAAGAGAAAATTTTTAAAGCAAAATCCTGTATTTGATACTACATTCTTAAGCTGTTTGTATGTTTGTGAATTTTTATTTTCATTTTTTTTGTTTTGTTTTTCAGGTTGTCAGTATTTAAACAGAGCACACCATGCGTGAGTACAAGCTTGTGGTCCTTGGTTCAGGAGGCGTAGGGAAGTCTGCTCTGGTAAGTTAGCCACCCAGGTATACCTAATCAGTGTTAACACAAAGAATATGGCTTGTTTTCATGCTTCTAGTTCCCATGGAAAAGGGAAGCATTATTCTTTATAAACGTGCTATCTGTAACCAAAGATGTATAGCTTTATACTGTGGAGTCACTCACTTACTCTTTTGTCTTCCAACTATTTATTGGCCAGTATTATTTGTGAAAGTGAAATGTAATTCTCATTGTCAAGGAAGTTTACATTCCATTGTGGAAAAGTGTTACAGATTGTAGCAGAGTAGATTCTCCTTTGCCTGACTCCAAGCTTGCATGAAGTGAAAGCTTCTTTTTGTTTCATATGAGGAACCATCCAGCCTCTGCGGTCACAACAGCAAATAAAAAGTCTGTCATGGAGCTCACTATATAGCAGAACTGGAGATGAAATAATACACCCATTAAACAAAGAACTGCTTGATGCTCTGACACAAAAATTCAAAATTTTAAGGGCAAAACTGACAAGTGGACCTTAGCTTTGACAACTACAAGAAAAGACCAGAATAGCCAGGCATGAGGAAGTGAGGTGGCAGGAAGGTGGGAGCCCAGAAGACTTAGATTACTCTATAAGAACTTGTAACTAAGGTCCAAGAACAATAAGACATAGAATGTAGGGTTTCTTGAGGGTGCTGGAAAGCTGGTGAATTAGCTAAACGTTCTGTTTAACAAATGGATTTAAGCTGTATAATTTAGAGGAACGGAAGAAAGTTGGGGGCTTGTTAAGCATTCTAGCTTTCTTGTGTGTGCTTGGATTAGGGCCATGAGAGTGAAGAAGAAACATGCAGATGCTTGAAGATTAAATAGGAGTAGACTTAAAATGTACTGCTGGGCTGGTTGGGATTAAAGATGAAGGAATAAAAACACAAAGTCTTAATACTTAGGAGACACTCAAGTTGCTCAGGTAAAATACACCAGATGCACAAATGAGTTTAAAAGAGGTTTGTGATACAATTTTAATTGCCATTAATATAATGATCATATTTAATTTCATGAGAATTCCATTACTGTTAGCCTGTTAGGAGTATAAATTAACAGCTCTGTGGAAATGATTTTTCAAATGCATGTAGTTTGAGGGGCCTTGAACTTGCTAATCTTCCTGCCTCAGTTCCCCAATGCTATAATTACAAACATGTATCATAACACCTGGCTTTACATGTAATTTTCAGTTCAGCAATTTCTCTCTGGATATTTTATCCCAATTATTAGTTCACATGTGCAAAATGATCACATCAGAAGTATGCATTGCAGCATTCTTCATAATGATAAGAACTTTGAAATGCCTACCAGTAGGAGCTAGTTAAGTAACTTAATACATATTTAGAGTAGAATGCTATACAAAGGCATAAAACAACTTTATACATACTGACCTATGATATCTTAGATGTATCATATATAGGGAAGAAAGGTACTAGTTAGGCTACCATTTAAGTGTTTTATTTTTCAAAAAGCTATAGTAGGTATTGGGGCTTGAGAGATGACTTAATACTTAAGAGAAAATACTGTTCTCGAAGAGGACTTGATCACTACCCCACATTGAATGGCTCACAACAACTTGTAAGTCCAGCCCCCACAGGATTCTGTGCCCTCTTCTGGCCTCCATGGGCTAACACACACATTGGCATAGATACATGGAAATAAGATTGAAATGACTGTTTTTAAAAAGTTAGAAGTGCAGAGAAAAGGAACCCATGAAATACATGAACCATTATATAAACAGATTGGGTAGCTGGAAACAAAAATGCTAATAGGATAAGAAAAAAATTAAATTCCGTAGAAGTGAACAAGATTGTCTAGGAAGAGAATAAGGAGAGAAAAACCCAGGGCTGGGTTCTGAATAATTGTCAATGTTAGAGGATAGGTAGGATTAAAATATCCAACAATGAAGAAGGTATCTTGTGATTGAGTGCATAGATGTGTCTACTTGACTGCTCAGACGTCAAGGAAGAAAGAGGAGTGGTACATGGAGATGTTTGCACATCTTAAAAGAAGATTTGGTAAGGTGATGTTGCCACAACCATGCTGGATAGAGTTGAAGAGTAATTGAGAGCTGAGGATATGGAATTATCATCTAGACACTTAAAGTCTGATTATGAGAACAAACAGAAAGGAGGAGAAGCTAGAGGGGAATATGGGGCTAAGAGGGGTTTTCTGTTTTGTTTGGGCATTGGAGGTAGCAGAGCATGTGTGTATCTTGGAGGCAGTGATCCAGTGGAAAAGAAGGGAATGACATAAGAAGGAGGAGGAGCAGATCCAGTATGGAAACCAAAGGAATAAAATGAAAATTGAGATGAATGAATGAGATTCAGAGGACTAACAAAAGGTTATTCTGTAAAAAAAGAAATGATCATTGTGAGGTGGTTGTTGATGCTTACAGGGACCAGTAATGTCAAGCTTAGGACAGTGCTTAGGCTTTCATGCCATCTGTGTCTAAGCACTTGTAGTAGTGGAGGACAAGTACAAGAGGAGGACGGTACATCTTAACACTGGGATCTCATGTGTGCACCTTGTGACCTCATATGCTGGACCATATACTTCTCCTACAGGCTACACTTGTTAGAAAGCTGTATCAGACTTTTTCCAATCTAAATTATACCATGATAAAAAGTGATTAAACCCTGATAAAAATGAGGAGTAAAGAACTGTGGGCCCAAGGAGATGGATTAGTGGGTAAGAACTCTTTCTGTGTGAGCATGAGGACCTGTTTGTAAATCCCCAGCACTCACACAAAAGCCTGGATGTGGGCATGTTCACATCTGTTATCCCAGTGGTGAATGAGTGCATGTGTGTGCGTGTGTAGCTATGTGTAGGAGGAATAAGACGGGGAGTAATAGAGTAGGACACCCAACATCCTCTAGTCTCTGCACACATTCATGCACACGTGTACACAGAGTTGAGACACAGTACAGAGGTAGGATATCTGCCTATCATGCCTAGGATCCTGTGTTGTATCACCAGCACAGAGGGATGAAGAGAGAAAGAATAGTTAAAAGTTTTTACTGTGGTTATATGCTGAAGTTCCTTTAATTTAAGTGTAAATAATCTTAGCCTGCATATTTGCCTGTGCTTATAGGCAGGAATATTCCAGGCCCTGTTTTAAAACTTCCTAGGAAATATCTAAGAATTATCATCTGTACTTGCCATTTATTTGATGATAAATATTCTTTCTAGTATACATTCAGATATGTTCAGTCAGTATACTGCAGATGAAAGTACAGTATTCTCCATTATCTGTATTTCCCAAGGTCCTCGGTTGATTCCTGAAACCATGGATTGTACTGAACTCAAATATAGTCTAAATTTTGTGTATATTCAAATTTATACAGCACCTACTTATCTTTTTCTGTACCTAGGGTAGTCCATTATTTGTGACTAGGTAGTGTTTTCCACTGGAAAGAGTAAGACCTAGGAATCAGAAAGATAATGTGTTGTAAGTTCAGCTGGCAAATCAGAAAAGTATTTCTGTGGTACAAGTGGAACTTGAATGTGATTACAGCCTGAAATTGGAGCAAGCAGATATTCAATAATGTAAAATTCCCTTTTCTCCAGTACAGTTTAAAGGATATAAACATTTAGAACCTTTGTCTCTCTCCTTTTAGACAAGAAATTACATTTGAATGGTTTCATTTTTAATGAACTAGAATCTTGCTTGTTTATCCCTGTATTTTAAGATGAAGTGTAATAATGTTTAGCAATGTAGTAGCTGTATTGATAAGTTTTTAATATGACCATCTCTTTTTGTAATAAATATCTTCCTAGTTTTGTATGCATTCTTAATTGGAAAATAATACTGATGCTTTACATTTGTGTTTTTTCAGAATTTCAACATAGTTTCATTTATTCTTTACAACTTATAAGGTTAAGTAACACTTAGGAACATTTTCTTCCAAGTCTTTAACTCTAGTTTGTTTTCTCCTCTCAGACAGTTCAGTTTGTTCAGGGAATTTTTGTTGAAAAATATGACCCAACGATAGAAGATTCCTACAGAAAGGTAAAATATGAAACAGTGTGTGCACTTATGAATAGTCCTTACAGCTTTCAAACCTGGTCCATGGAATTGCTTTTTACTATAGTTTTGAGAAATGATAGAAATCTGCTGTGTCTGTTTTTAGAAGTTCCACCTGGATAAAACATTCCTCACTGAACACTGCTTAATAGAGTGCTCTCTCCATATGCTGCTGCTTAATAGTGCATTCTTTTTTTGTGGGGGTGGGGCCTTTCCAGATAGGGCTTCTCTGTGTAATAACCCTGGCTATCCTGGAACTCACTGTGTAGACCAGGCTGGCCTCGAACTCACAGAGGTCTGTCTGCCTCTGCCTCCCCATTTCTGGGATTAAAGGTGCAAGCCACCACACCAGCTAATAGTTCATTCTTTTCTGTATGCATTTTCCCAGTAGAAAGTAAGTAAAAACAATATTAAGCCCACACCTAGGCTTTTGTATGAGTGTTGGGGATTTATATACAGTTGTATTTTTCTACTTAATATTTTCAGCCATTAACAAAACTTAAGACCATTTTTATGATTGAAGTTATCCATTAAGTTTTGGTTTTGATTTATAGTAAATTTAAAGATATCTACCCTTAGACTATCAAAATTAATTAAAAAATGTATAATAATATAATGGGAATACCTGTCATATTTCTCAGATCTGTGGAACATATATTTAAAATGACCGTAATGCAAACTGTAGACCTTTGCTGATAACAATGTGTCATTGTAGTTTATTGGTTGTAGCAAATTTCCACTCTGCTGCAAGCTATTGGTAAAAGAGAGAAGGAAGCTGTATGTGGTGTAGGCAGAGATAAGGTGGGGCATCTTTATTTCTCTTAATTTTGTGATGAACCCAAAATTTTTCTTAAAGAAGTGATGTTGGCCAAGCATGGTGGTATACACATTTAATCCCAACACCTGGTAAACAGGCAGGGAGATCTCTGCAAGTTCAAGGCCAACCAGTCTACAAAGACCCTATCTTTAAAAAAAGAAAAGAAGAGGGTAATCTAGTTTTTAAAAAAGCAAAGAAGCAAAATCGTTGGTCTTGACAAAAAAAAAATATGTTCTATTATAAGACTAGGTAGAGCCATGAAAAAACTTTCATGATTTTATTTTTCACATATCCAGGTGAGGAGTCATATAACAGAGCCAGGGTTATCCCTCCAAAGACTAAACCTACATTTTAACAGAGAGGAAATCATTGCTCTGTTAGATATCTGTTTTTAGAATCTGTCTTTGATAGTGCTATAACTTTTGTTAAGCCTTTTAGGAAATACTGGCCGAATGATTTCATTCTCTTCCATATTAACACAATGGTGCTCTAGATACTTATGAAACTACAGGCATGGTTCTTTATTTTCTGAAGACTCTGGCACAGATTTTGCCTGTTTACTGTTTGCCCCCCACTGAGTGGGGTTTTGCGTTTGTGGCCCCACCAGAGGTACTCCTCCTCCTCCTCACTCTGGCAGGGAGGAAGGGCAAGAGCCTTAGGTGATGTGTTTATTTGTAGGAGACAGTATTGCTCTTCTGAAATTTCTCCCAAATACATCTCATCAAAAGGCAATATCTGTCCCTAGCATGCTGAAGGACTAATTTTCTTAGTTCCTTTAATTATCCGCAGAGTTGATAATTGAAACTTTCTTTAGACCAATCTTCTTTTTTAGAAGACTGGGGAAATGGAATTGGTATATTCATATTTCACCTTCTATAGTCCCTCCCCCACCAAGGAACCCTTTTAAGTCTTAAGAGTTGTGTTTATTCTTAAGGAATAAGTAGCTCATTGCTATTTATTTGAACATTTCTGTGTTCTTATGTTGCAATTTTTTTAATATTTTAGCAAAATTTTAACAACTTGGATAAAGTAAGTTTCTATTCCTTGAAATCTTTTTGTATACAATTTGACACATTAAAGGTGGTACTGTGAGGTCTGACATCTTTTGTTGGAAATAGTGTCTCTCTATGTCACCCATAGGGCCTTAAACTAGAACTCTTCCTGCCTTAGCCTCCCAGAGCTGAAATTATAGGTAAGCACTACCATGCCCAGCTTGGAATCTTTAATTCTTGGCTTTACATGAAGATCATGTATGTATCTCATATATGTCTGTCACAGCCATATGTCATATATATGATCTTCATTTTTTGTGTTTTTTTTATTAGAATTTTTTTCCTGTTAGAACTGTATGTACCTTTTTCCTAAATTACAAAACCTGTTCTTTTGCCTTCCAATAAGGACAAATGAGCATCATTATAGCTATACTCAACTTTAACCATACTGGCCTTTGGGATCTTGCTGGTGTGCTCAAAGACCCCTGTTCCCTATTGTGGTACTACGTAAAAAAACATTTGGTAGTTACCAATAAGCACTTTGAAGAGGTAAAAGGAAAACATGTTAATGTTGCCTTTTTTTTGTCTTTTCTTCTTTGCTCCCCGACAGCAAGTCGAAGTAGATTGCCAACAATGTATGCTGGAAATCCTGGATACTGCAGGAACAGTAAGGATTCTTTCCTTTTCATTTAATAAGTTTTAGTCTGTGAGCAGGTTTTCATATCAAAATGATTCTCTGTAAAGTGATTATTCTGATTTTTTAAAAATTCTCTAAATGTAGGGCTTCATAAATTTTCTTAGGTATATAAAATTGTTTTGTGATGTGATTGATGCCCACAAATCATAATTGAATTGTGTATTGAGCTCACCTGCAGAATCTGAAATGGAGGGAGCAGTCTTTTTGTATTGAAGTATGATATATACTATAATATGTATATATTTTTAGAAGGTATTTAAGGGCTGGAGAGATGGCTCAACAGTTAATAGCACTGGCTGCTCTTTCAAAGGACCTGTATTCAATTCCCAGCACTCACATGGCAGCTCACAACTGTCTATAACTTCAGTTCCAGAGGATCTGAAATCCTCACACAGACATGAATACAGGCAAAACACCAATGAACAACAAACAGACAAATAAACAAATAGATAAATAAATGATTTGGGGGGAGGAATTTAAGTTCAGAATTTTAGTTAAAGTAGGTGTTCCCCTCCCCAGTCCCACCCTCTTTAGCACTCCAGTTGACTGGCTCCTGCAGCTTCTCAAACACTGTATGGTCCTTGGACCCTGTGTATTTGTTGTTCTCTGTCTAGGACACCTTATAAGAGCATCCATTAACCTCCTCTTCTTCTTGCCCTCCTGTTAGCTGTCAGTACCTTACCCTCTAAATTGTAAACTTCTACTCCATTAAACCGCCTATCCCCCAAAATAAAGAGAAACTCTCAGCTTTATTTTTTTCAGTAACATTGCTGCCTGGTCTACTTCATACTTTATTTTTATTTATCTCCATGTATATTCCTTGAGAGATTTTTGCTTCTTGTGTTGATCAACATACTTCCTGCTGAACAGTTGTTGAATAGATGAATCTTATAGACTGTCCATAGGAAGGAGGTTGGGATTCTCAGTAAGAGATATAAAAAGCTGCAGTACTACAGTATTTACTCTTGATTAGTAACTAGCAGAGGCTATAATCTCAAGAAAACATGGGAGGAATGCTAGGGCTAGAATTTCTAATTACCTTTATAAATAACAAATCCAGAAAAATGAAAGAAAGGCTCGAAGGTTAAGGATGTGGATGAGTGTTAGCAGGCAGACTGGAGCATCTAAGACTGTTTTGTTTAGTAGACAAAATAGAAGAGTGACAAGGGAAATCAGTAAGCCAGAGATGCAATACGTTTATGAAGCTTTGTGGATTTGTATGTTTAATGATAAAGAGGTTAAAAATTCATTTTTAATATTTTTCTATATGTGACTTCTTTAATACTGCATATAAAATCCAAGGACTTTTTAGACAGGATTCTGTTCCATATTGTTATCTGTAGTTACAACATATAATAATTTCTCCAAAGAAGACAAGGTTGGTTTTAGGCAAACAAATCATTTTAATTTAGTGAGACTGCAACTGTATGGCTGATGTTAATGGTTAGTGACTCTGAAGAAAATAGTCACTGTACTTTTCTCAGGTCTTTTCTAAGAATTTGAAATGCAGTGAGCAGGGAGATAAAATTATATGGAAAAGCTCTTTCCAGGAGTCTACTCCAGGGTTGGTAATGTACTGATTGTCAAGATGGTAAAACATCAACAGAAAGATAGTTGAGACTGGCCCTGATGGATGATTATAACTCAGCACTGAATTTGCATCTTGTATTCTTTCTACTTGAGTGGTGATCATATTATAAATCTTCCAAACAAAATCAATTAAGGTTTGTATATTAAAAGAATTGTGTCAACAAACATGAATATGAAATCTTATAATGATATATAATTTAAAATGTAGGTCCTTATTTGAGGTTATTCTGTTTAGAAACCATTCCAACATACATTCAAAAACTGTGTATATATTTATAACTGGATTTTTTTTCACTACAGGAGCAATTTACAGCAATGAGGGATTTGTATATGAAGAATGGCCAAGGGTTTGCACTAGTTTATTCAATTACAGCTCAGTCTACGTTTAATGACTTACAGGATTTGAGAGAACAGATTTTACGGGTTAAAGACACAGAAGATGTAAGTATTTTTCTCTCATTAAAATATATTGCCATCTCTCCATAGTCAAATAAACATGTCTGCTTTCTCGTCAGTATAAGGTTTTGTAGATATATCTAGCATATGTCAAAAACAGCTCCTGAAAATAAATTTTTGACTTTCAAAATTAACCTATAAATTATATGCTGAGATTATAGAATATGAGATGTTTATGGCAAAGTGAGTGTTGTGCCATGTGGATTTAAAAATATAGGAGAGATGAGGAGTCCAACAACCTCACAGAAGAAGGAAGAAGTGGGACTCAACTTGAGCTTTGAATGTGAGAAATAGTGTTCCTCCTCCTCCTCTTCCTCCTCCTCCTCCTCCTCCTCCTCCTCCTCTTCCTCCTCTTCCTCCTCCTCCTCCTCCTCCTCCTCCTCCTCCTCCTCCTCCTCCTCCTCCTCTTCCTCCTCCTCTTCCTCTCCCTCCCCCCCCTCCTCCTCTTCCTCCTCCTCCTCTTCCTCCTCTTCCTCCTCCTCCTCCCTCCTCCCCCTCCTCCTCTCCTCCTCCTCCTCTTCCTCCTCCTCCTCTTCCTCCTCTTCCTCTTCCTCCTTCTTCCTCCTCCTCCTCCTCCTCCTCCTCCCTCCTCCTCCTCCTCCTCCTCCTCCTCCTCCTCCTCCCTCCTCCTCCTCCTCCTCCTCTTCCTCCTCTTCTTTTTGCTTTTTCAAGACAGGGTTTCTCTGTGTAGCCCTGGCTGTCCTGGAACTCTGTAGACCAGGCTGGCCTCAAACTCACAGAGATCCATCTGCCTCTGCCTCCAGAGTGCCAGGATTAAAGGTGTGCACCACCACTGCCCAGCCCTCGGATTTATATTCTTGCACTACCTTTGTTGGTATCATATACCTTTTTCGTATCTTTTACAAAAAATGGAATATACATCTTTACATCAATTTGATATAGTGGAAAAAATCCTTTTTAGTTATAAAAATTAAGATAGAAATTTTCAGTTGCACCTTTCTGGTTTTGTGTACTTTTCTCTAATGGGTGCATATTCATCTGCTCAGGACCTTTTAAACTTGATAACATTGCAGATAGGGGAATTTGTGCCATATGATCCCATGATTGCCCTTTATGAATAGTTTTCCTCCGTTCTATGATGAATTTATCCAGAGTTCTGTTTTCAAAGAGTTACAGTGGTGCTGGCACATGCCTTTAATCCCAGCACTCCGGAGGCAGAGGCAGGTGGATCTCTGTGAGTTCAAGACCAGCCTGGTCTACATGAGCTAGTTCCAGGACAGCCTCCAAAGCCACAGAGAAACCCTGTCTTGAAAAAAAAAAAAAAAAAAAAAGAGTTACAATGAGTTGTAATGTTAATCCCTTTTATTACATCAGTAAAGGACAAAAGATGAAGTTAAAGGTGCCTAGACTGTTTAATGTAATCTGTTTGGGGTAGAAGGTTCATCATGTCTCTCACATCCTTTCTTTTGTATAGTGGTGTTGTCTTTTTTTTTTTTTTTTTTGGTTTTACGAGACAGGGTTTCTCTGTTTTGGAGGCTGTCGGTCCAACCTGGCCTCGAACTCACAGAGATCCTCCTGCCTCTGCCTCCCGAGTGCTGGGATTAAAGGCGTGCGCCACCAACGCCCGGCTAGTGGTGTTGTCTTAAAACCAACTGGCTTTGTTCTCTGAACTTTTAGCTGAGGAATCTAACAGTTTGTTAGCTGTGAGAGTAGGATGTTATATTTCAAGATAGTCAAGCATCTGTGGTATGGAGTAAAAGGGAAGACAGCCACTTGGTGACTTTTTTTCAATGTATGTATGTATGTGTGTGTCTGTGTATATCCCATGTGTTGAGGCTAGAAGAGGATGTTGGATTCCCTAGAACTTGAGTTACAGGTGATTGTGAGCTACCTGACATAAGTATTGGGAACTGAACTCAGGTCCTCTGAAAGAGCAGCAAGTGCTCTTAACCACTGAACCATCTCTCTGACTCCTATTTTTATTCTTAATCCTCCTTAATATTTTACCTACATAGTCTTCAAGTCTAATATTAGGTATAGTAGTAGAAGCTGCTAATAATGTCATTTTTTTTGGCATTTATTAGACCTATGAGATGAAGCAGTGAACCACTTATGATCAGTGAATATAGTGTTTCATGTATTGCAGGGAGAATTCCTTTCCCTTCAGAATTTTCTACTTACAATCAGCTATTTGTAGTAATCGACATAAAAATTTTAGGGTCATTAAGGGATGGAGAAATAACTCAGTAATTCAAGTACTTGCCACTCTTCCAGAGGACCAGGGTTCGATCCTCAACAACCACATGGCAGCTCACAACCATCTGTAGCTCTTTCGTCCTCCATTGGTACTACATATGAACGTTGTATACAAACAAGTTAAAATTAAGAAAAAATGGAATCATATTATTTAAAATAATTTGGTATATGAATCTAGTAGTTCTTCATAAACCCCTCCCCCCACTCTCTCTCCCTCCATTTATTCTCCCACCCCAAACAGCCACAATACACAGCACACTCTTTTTTAAGCATTTGGTGGAGCATACAGTTATAGATTGGTATGTTTTGGTTTTTAGCAGGTAATTGCTTATTGCCAGAAGAGAGTAGGTAATGAGTATGTAATTCATTTGTTTTGTTTTGTTTTGTTTTGTTTTTTCCTTCCTGCAGGTTCCAATGATTTTGGTTGGCAATAAATGTGACCTGGAAGATGAGCGGGTAGTTGGCAAAGAACAAGGCCAGAATTTAGCAAGACAGTGGTGTAACTGTGCCTTTTTAGAATCCTCTGCAAAGTCAAAGATCAATGTTAATGAGGTAACCTGCAACTACTAGACAGTACAGACAAGTTCCTTTTTATTTTCCGTTGCCTTAAATTTATAGCCAGAATTTTTAAGAAAAGAATTATCTCAATTTATTACCTTGTAGAAAATAGTAATTTCTAGATACTGTGTACCTTCGCTTTCATGACATCATTCTCTGATAGTTGTAATGCAGCCACCTAATTTTAACTTGTCAAAGGCTCTTTATAAAGTTCTGCTAAGCCTTTTAAGTAATATGCCAGAGCTAGCATGTGAAAATTGTCACACCTTTATGTTGTAACAGTTACTTATCCCGTTGAATATAACAAATGGGTGGTAAAGTCCAATAGGAAAGTACGAAAACATTTAGGTTACTATTATAATGAACTTTTGTTATACAATACCATCATAGAATTTTATTTTTGATTCTTGTCTCATTTTTGATGCATGCCTGAAAGTGTGAGCTCTATATATGGATGGATTTGTAATTCAACCCATTCAGTCCTTTGCACACTGCTGATTTAAGCACACCACTATCTTAAGATATTCTGTGGGCCAGAGGCCTTTGCAAATAGGCTATGTGCCTCATTTTAAAGAGCTAATAGTTGACCAAGCTCCTAAAAATGTAGTGCATTTCCTAAATTGCAACCACCAATCATATAAACTCATGAGATTGCTTTTGCTTTTGGTACTTTACCAAAAGCCTTTGAAAAAGAAAATAAATGGGGGCAGAGAGGCAGTAAGCCTCCTGTCCCCTTCTGTGGCCCATGGAAGCATCTCAGGTAACTAGACACAGGTGAGAGTAAGGTGGGGTTAGGTTGTCGAAGCTGGGGTTTTACTCACTGCTCCTCTCTGGCCTCTGTTCAATAAGTCACTTTTCATGACTATGCTTGTAGACTATTATTAGACTTTTAAGATGGCTAAATTATTTTAAACACCTCCCAAGGAGGGGGTGCAATCAGCTTGCTGCAGATTCTGTTTCTTACACAGAATCAAGAATGCTAAAACTTAGTTTTTTAGGTGAAACCACTTTTAACAAATACAAAAAAAAGAAAGAAAAATCTGTTAATTGCATTTGTCTGGCAAACACTGAGCACCTATTGTGTGCCTGGCACTTCATTCTGCACCCAGGTGGCAGTCATCCAGACAGAACTATTTCTACCCTTAAGAAGTTTGCATCCTAGTTGAGCAATAAGTCCTACTGGTGCTTCCATAACAGTTATTTGTCGTTCACTGCCAGGGAATGAGAAGAAACTGATAGACATCTAGCCATCCAGTCATCTTTCTTTGTTGTAGTATTAGAATTTTCTAGAGGTTGTTTTTTTTAAAAACTTTAATAATAAAAATGTAATGTTTAGAATAATATTTTCTGAAAGAACAAGTGAGCAAGAAAAGGAGCCTTGTAATGCCAGCACTCTGGAGGCCAAGGCAAGAGAATGAAGTTCTAGGCCAGCATGGACTATATATTACGAAACCATAACTAAAATGAACAAACAATATTTTAATGAAGAATACATTACAGTTGGTGAATGCCCCTGAATAGTAGAATTGTGGCATGATGTCACCTTATGTGATATGGTTAGCCTTTGGGATCTGGTTCCTTACTGTCTCTGTCACCCTCACTGCTGTCCACCCTCCAAGTTCATCAAGTGTGCTGGGGCTGAGTTGGACCAGAGTCCATCACACAAGACCTCTCCCTGTAGGAGCCAGAGTTTAGTGTGGAGGAAGTAAGTATTCCTCATTTTCAATCATTACATGATTGTGGGAACCTGCATTGCAGTTTCTAATGCAACAGAATTGAGTTTTTCACAGCAGTCTTGTTAAAGTTTCACATAGGGTTTAGAAAACAATATAAAATGTCATAGTCATTTTATTGTCTCTACTTTGAAAAAACACACAGGCTGCATGCTAGAAATGAGAATATAATTTTGAAGTGTTTCATTTTTTTTAAGGTTTTACTTTTCCTAGCCTAATAATTTAGCTGCAGAATTTCTTGAATAGTTCACAGTTGTTGAGACAGTCTGTGCTGCTGTGTAAATGCTTGTGTGGTTTCTGAATGCATGAAGATAGAGAATAATAATTTCACTAGATTCAGCTCTTGACTTTGAATTTGCAAACAGACAAGAACACAATGCTTGGCCAGAGCCCTCTAATTCTCTATATTCTACATGGAGCAATTGATGCACTGGAATTACGTCAGCCTTAGCCCCAGATTTCTTTCTTTGCTGAGGCTGGAGTAATGATTGGAGTAAAGACATCCCAATTAGGCATGGGAGAGGGGTTGAGAAACTCTATTCTGTGTTCCCTCTAGATTTTTCTATAGTTCAGAGAGATGAGGAAGAACCTAGGCTGGGGACTTTCAGCATTTCTAACCAAATATTATAGTTCGAACTTGCCCTCATCACTGAACCATCTGCTGCTGTGAGGTAGGCAATGTTTTCCAAAGAAATAATTTAGAATAATACTACAAGCAATCAGTTACCTGTCTCTATAATGTGTGCCAGAAACTGGACACTGACTGGTATGAAGAAACTGAAATAGGAACTGCATATGTATTTCATTAATTTACTGTTCTGGTTTATCTTTTTGTTACTTTGTATCATAGCTTGCATGTTAAAACCTTATGCACCAATGAGAACTTTTTCCTGACTCATATGCATCAAGTTCTTAAAGGCTTCAGAGTTATGGAAATAGTATTGGCGTATAAATACTGTAGTTTTAACCTTTTGTTAGCTTATAGAAAACAGAATGGCTTTAGGAAGTGGGAGTTGGATGGATAGGGCAAACAGAAAAGAATATATTTATAACTTTGTAATGAATCTGTTCTCTTTTTTTTCTTTTCAACAATTTAGTCTCATAATCTCTGAGTCATTTGAAAAAGTAACAGATGATTATCATCTTAAAGAAATGTAGTTTGTCATCTTTTTTAAAACAATACACAGGCTAGAATATAGCTCAGTGGTGGAGAACTTGCCTAACATGTACAGGCCCTGGGTTTAGTTTCCCACTACAAAAAAAAAAAAAGAAAGAAAGAAAGGCTAAGATCTCTTGCTTTTGAAATTTACTTAATCTAAGAACAAGAAAAAAAATAGCCCGTTTATCCTTCATTTAGATTTACTAATAATTACCATTTGGCCACATACTTACAGGAATCATTTTTCTTTGCTCCTATATATTTTAGTATGTGTTTCCTTGGATCAAAGGCATTCCCAGACTGTACAGAGTGCTCCGGGATTAAGAGCTCATAAGGCTTTATGTAGGGTCACAAGTTCAGGTCTAACACCAATGGCTCACAACCTCCTTTAAGTCCAGCTGCAGGTGATTTAACACTTCTTGACTCCACAGGCATCCCTCACAGATACATAAATGGAAAATAAGAAAATTGCTAAAAGAACCTTTAAGGACATTCTCTAACAAAAACCACGGCTATTAAAGATACAACTTGGCTATAGTGTGTTCGCCTGCATGAGCAAGGCCTGGATTCAGTTCCCAAAACGCAAAGTAAAAGTAAAATCAGGAAACTTGCCTTCAACACTGTTCTGTTTATATGTAGTTTTATTGTATTAAGTATGCCAATGTGTTAAAGACCATTTCAGCTGAATCTGGTTATTTGCTATGATAATGCAGGCAATCATTTTCTAATGGCCTGGGATGAAATGAATGCCTCGTCATCATCATCATCTGAATATCTCTTGCAGAGTTGTTATTAAGGAACACAATAGGGATGGACTGGTAACATTTCAACACATGCCAGAGTTAATAATCCACTTTTATGAAATAAGTAGTTTTAATATTTTTGTCTTTGATGACTTTTACTCTTCCAAAGATGAATCTCTGGGATTATTACTGTACCTTCAAATTGAAGATTAGTGAACTTTTCCTGTCTGTTGTTGTTATTGCTGTTGTCTTGTTTGCTTTGACCATGGAGGTACACACTTTTAATCCCAGCACTTAGGAGGTAAAAGTAAATGGACTTCTTGAGTTCAAGGCCAGCCTGGTATACAAAATAAGTTTCAGGCCATCTAGAGCTGAATAGTGAGACCCTCCCCTAAAAAACAAATCCATAAGGGGTGGACATCATGTGCCTGCTCTTGTGTTACCTGAACAGAGACATGCTTTTTTCTGTCCTAGCATAAAATGTACATCATCATCATTATCATCAAATGCAAATTGAGGGAAATTCTATACATTTATTAGACATTATTTTTCTGAAATGACAAAACCTTGGAAGACAAAGACCAAAGAACTGTTCCTAATTTTAAAAAGCTAAAAGCAGTTCATGAGGTACTATCCATCTATAATCCTAGCACTTGGGAGATGGAGACAAGAGGATCAGGTTTTCAAGGCCAGCCTTGAGTGAGTTTGAAGCCATCTCAAACAAATAAGAAAATAGTAACAGATAGACAGGTGCTACAATATCAAGAAACAAAATGCAATGTGAATCCTGATAGATTTCTACCTAAAAGGAAAGTTACATTTTAGGACCTCATTGAGAGAATTGGAATTTACACTAAAGATTATACAAAAAAAAATGTATTGATGTTTAAATGTTTTGACTAGGATCAGCATTATGCTCAGGTTATATATGAGTATGTTCTTGCTGGGTGAGGTACCTCACATCTTTGATCCTAGCACTTGGGAGGTGGAAGCAGGCAGATCTCTGAGTTTGAGGCCAGTGTAGTCTATGCAGTGAAACCTTGTCTTGAAAAACAAGAGAGAGAGGTAGTATATTCTTGTTCTGGGAGATACATGCTTAGTTAGCCCTTTAAGGATCCATGCCGCTATCATATGGTTCAAAATTATTGGCTCTAGGAAGAGTGTACAGAAGCTCTTTGGTGCTATTGCTGTAATTTTAATTTTAAGTGTTCACTACCTTTCACATCTATTTTTTTTTAATTGACTACCGGCTGTCTAAGAACAGGTACATATCCTTTATCATGAATAAGTAAGGTCTGCTTTACTATGAGAGTTAGCTTAGGGAATTAAGAAACTTAGAAGAAAACAGTAAAGTTCAGATCTAATGGCAGAATAGTACTTGGTGCTTTCAAAATGATTCTGTGAAACAAACAATCAGTAGTTTTTATTGTTGTTTTTACCTAGATATTTTATGACCTGGTCAGACAGATAAATAGAAAAACACCAGTGGAAAAGAAGAAGCCTAAAAAGAAATCATGTCTGCTGCTCTAGACTTGAAGTCAGCAGCAGCTCTGAGCCAGGTAAGAGGCTTAAGCAGAGCAAAGCCTTCCTCGTTTCTCCCAACTTTTAACCGTTTTATTTACTGTCAGTATTTCTGAGCTTGTATTGCTTATACATGTGACAGACACCTGTATCTGGTGTAATTGGCCTCCTCCCCAGGAGAGTCTAAGCTCTAAGAATGAGGACCACGTGTGATTTGCTCACCATCATGTTGCCATCATCTGCTAAAGAGTGTGTATTTGAAAAATAAATAGTGCTAGAGGCTGGGTGGAACACTTACCTCGTATCAGCATTTCTCTTTGCTCCTTGAACTTAGCATTAGCAAAAATATATAATGTGTTGTGTCTGTCATCATTCACTCAGAGCTGTGGTTTTAGAAGTATCCATGTTACATGTATAAGTAGTTTATTTTTATTATATGACAATACTTAATTTATTACTTGACTAATGGGTGTTCTGCTACTGAGGGACTTTTGAGGAATTCATATGGATAATACTGAGCCTAGCCTAGCAGCTCACACCTATTGTCCCAGACAAAGAATGAATCAAGAAGATTAGAAATTCAAAGCCAGCCTCCCTTACGTATCAAAGTCAAAATTGTCAAGTTATATGAGACCCTGGCTTAAAACTAAAACAGACAAAATATACAGATAGTTTGCAGTTCTGTGCATGACTTACACACAAGCATGTGTCTAGAAACCTAATGTCCAGCTCATATGCTATATATACGAGTTTTTTTTAAGTAATTGTACCACGGTATATGCATCAGCAATTCATGAGTTCCATATCCTCCCCAAGATTGGTGTTTTCAGACTTTTTAAACTAAACTGAGCCATTCTGTCTGATGTGCGATGGCACATTGAGTTCTACTTGTCAGTTCTTCTCAAGAGTGAATGGCTCTTCAACAAATGCTTTACCAGAGTCTGCATCAAGTGGTAGTTGACTTTAGGTAGCATTTCAGCCTTTCATTAAGTGGACCCACTGAAGAGAAATTCCTGGCAGCATTTGCACTGCCAGTCACGTATGAAGCCAGGCCCTGTGAGCTGGTTACTTGGTTTCCCTTAATTACATATTTAAATCCCCTGATGTTTCTTCTTTGGCATCTATTAAACCCAAACAGAATGCTTTCGTGGAGCAGATGTATGTTGTAGTCTGAGCCTAATTATGTGAATATGACTAAACTTGATGAAGTTAGAAGAGGAACATAAACTCTCCTCACTTGAGAGTTGATGACACTAACTACTGTTGATCTCTGGGGCCTGTTTAGTAGATTACTGCTTTCTGAGCTCCTGATAAGCTAATTTGTGCTCCTTAGAGGTAGGGATGAGTAAGAATCTCTCCTAGAGAAAACAATTGAGTAACTGCAACCCTTTTTAATGGAAAAATAGAAAGGAGGAAAAGCATAGTTGTCTCAAGTGGTCAAACTTGGAAGGTCAGCTTCTGGTTAAGTGCTTTCTTTTTCTGAAGAACTAAGTAGCTTTTCCTGAAACTGATTGGTTAAAAGACTTTAAATTGCTAGTTTCCTGACCGTGATTATTGTTAAGATTACTGTGTGTGTTTAAGGAAGGGTACAAAGGCAGAAACATGAGGACTTAAATTGGTAATGTGTTGTTTTACACTTTTGACTGGCTTTTTGACACCGTTACCTTGGCAAACTTGAGTTTTAACTTTGCATTCTAAGAAAATGTTCTTTTAGCTTAAAGGAAAAGATAGCACTTGGCCTATTATGATTTTAAAATGCATTCATACAATTAGAGAGAAATCTTGCCTAGGTCTGGCAATAAGCCATTCATGTTGATTGCATCAATCCTTAGACTTGTACATAATTTGATGTAAAATGTAGTCTCCTGAGATCTTGTAGAGGTGTGATGATAGAGGCAGAATGCTTTGAAGTACATTATTGTGATTTGCAATGCCATGTTATACTTGTATTTTTGGAAGTGCTAAACTTTACGTTGTGGCACATGTCTGTAGTCCCAGCTATTCAGGCTAAGGCAGAAGGATTGCTGGAGCCCAGGAGTTTGAGACCATCCTGGCCAATATAACAAGACTAGGGCTAAAATGTTCTAAGATAACAAGGTAGATTTAGGTAACAATTACAATGTTTTAGTGTAAGTAGCTGAACTTTGGGAGGCACCATAGCCTTTAAGTAGAATTGTATTAAAACATGTAAATCTCTTAAATATCTCAGTTTTAAAGAGCTTACAGAAGTAAATCATCAGGAGTTCTCCCTCTAAACTAATTGGCTTGTGCTGAGTAGTAGGACCTGCTGATTCCTCAGCCTTTGAGTGTGGATGAGCTCTTTCTGTGTTGTCTCTTACCAGCTATGTTAGTATACCTAATAGGGGATCAGAAAATGGCTGAATGTAGAATTTCCCACAGAGAGTTTATGTTGACAAATATTGAACTTTAAAAAAAAGGATAATGGGATACAAGTGAAAATTATTGTCTGCCTCCTTATAGGTATGGTATTAGGTATAGATAAGATGTGAATTACTAAGTCTAATAAAACCAGGGACAAACAAAAATTGATTACTAGCAACCGTTTATGAACTCAGTGTTCTGTATTTGATTTTGAACGTTTGAGACAGTCTCAAGTACTCCAAACTGTAACCAAGGTTATACTTGGACTCCTGATCCTCATCCCACCACATCTGGTTTATTTTTTAACATGTTTAATGGGAAAGTAAAAGAGCTCTTCTACTGAAGTAACTTGGTGTATTTAGTTCCTTAGTAATGGTCAGTAATGTCAACATTTGTGTGTTGGTAGATATCTGTTTATTGACTGCCACCTTCTGACAAAGAGAGAACTCTGTATGTCTGTGTCTGTTCAATGTTCCAGATTACAGAAATGAAGAACTGTTGCCTAATTGGAAAGTGCCAGCATTCCAGACTTCAAAAACTAAATCTGAAGAGGCTTCTCCTGTTTTATATATTATGTGAAGAATTTAGATCTTATATTGGTTTGCACAAGTTCCCTGGAGAAAAAGTTGCTCTGTGTATATCTCCTGGAAATAAGACATAGTATTTCTCCTTTGCAATAGCAGTTATAACAGATGTGAAATAAGATACTTGACTCTAATACAATTATACAGAAGAGCATGGATGCATTTCAAATGTTAGATGTTACTACTATAATCAAATGATTTCATATTGACCTTTTTATCATGACTCCTCCTTATCAAGCACTAAAAAGTTGAACCATCATACTTTATATCTGTAATGATATAGATTATGAAATCTCCCCTCAAACTCATTGCAGCAGATAACATTTTTGAGTCATTGACTTCATTTTATATTTAAAAATTATGAAAATATCATCTGTCATTATATTCTAATTAAAATTGTCTGTGCATAATGCTTTGGAAAAATGGGTCTTTTATAGGGAAAAAACTGGGATAACTGATTTCTATGGCTTTCAAAGCTAAAATATATAATATACTAAACCAACTCTAATATTGCTTCTTGTGTTTTACTGTCAGATTAAATTACAGCTTTTATGGATGATTAAATTTTAGTACATTTTCATTTGGTTTGTGTCTTTTTGTTATTGTTTATAGATTTAAGTCCTTTATTTGATAATGACTACATTGTTTAAAATGCAACAGTAGCTCCTTTCTGCCTGGATCAGCAGAACCTTGGCTTTAAACTACACTAATCAGTGATCTCTCTAGGAACAGACCTCGCACTTCCTGCTCTAGATATATTTATTCCTACTATACAGTAAAATACCACCAGACGACATAGAATAGTTTTGTATATTCTCTCTTGACCTTAAAGATTGTATCTCATTGAATAAAATATCCCACTCTGTAATATTTTTATATGTAAAAAGAAAGTTTAATACTGTATCAGGGTTTGACTTTGACTATTGCAAATCCTGCACAGCTTGTAATTTCATCCAGGGAATCCTTGCCATTGTTAATTTGTTGGTTTGAGTGAGTCCACCAATGAAGTGTTGTGTGAAAATTTTCAAACTTGCTTTCTGATAGATTGAAGAACTTAGAGAAGAGGTTGCAACTCAGAACACAAAAGGGATGTATGATTGGACAATATGAGCAGTGTGGCAGGAGTGACATGAAGATAGCTCATCACAGTTTTAACTGGCTGCATAGAGGTGCTTCTCTTTGCTTCTCAGTTTCATTTTATAAAGGTGGGGCCTGTACAGGACATGTACAGGGTGATAACTGTTGTGTGCTCTCCGTGAAGAAAGGGGAAGCGCATGGCTTGTTGGCCAGGTGTACATTGGAGAAGAAAGCAGATTGCAAGCTTAGGAAACCCTGTGCCTTGTCCCTGAAAGTCAAGGAGACCAATCCTAGAAAGTACATCTTTGCTCAGGGATCTAGATATGGTCTCATCACAGCTAGTTGTGAAGAGGTGTTCATGCCTTGCTGAGATTTGCCAGGTATGTGGCCAGCCCTTCATTTCTAAGTCAGCTTTCAAATGTAAGATCTGACCAACCTGAAGAAATGTCAAAAAAATACTGTTTGAAAAATTGGAAATTGTATTCTTTTGATATTCTAATAAACTTAGCTACTTAACATTCCCTTCTCTTGATGCAGTTATGCATGTCTGTGACTGAGGGGCAAAACCTTAAACTAAAATGCAAGTGGAAGGAGAAGGCTAGTTTGTCCCAGCGAGAAAATCGGGGCTTTTTGTTTGTTTGTTTGTGTTTGTTTTTTAAATGGGGTCCTACTGTGCTACCCCAGCCAGCTTCAAGCTTCTGGGTTCAGGTGATCCTCCTGCCTCTGCATCTCAAGTAACTAGAACTACAGGAGCATGCCACTGTGTGCCCAGTTAGAGGCATACCATATTTTAAGGACCTTTGAAATACTTCTCACAGATTTCTTTGGACTTGAAATCATGGACAGACAGGCCTCTCACAAACCAATAAAATATCTAAATCATGTGTCAAATGGGTTGTGTAGGTATT